ACATGTTCCTCTTTCTGCTTTCAAACGCTGTCCTTGAATCCTATGTCCAGTATGGGCCTGCCCCTTTTCACGTTATCAAATGAATATTTTAGGCGTAACAAGATCTTAATGTACAACTGGTTCTTAGGAGTCACCCTCCTGTGTGTATGGCTAAGCATTTCTCTGCTCTAAGTCAGAGAACCTCCAGTGGCCAGTGGTACAAGCGCTAAGCTGCTAACCTAAAGACCAGTGGTTTGAACCCGCCAGCTGGGAGTCCGATGTGGCAGCCTGCTTCCCTAAATGTAACAGCTCTGGAGACTGTGGGACAGTTCTGTGCGGTCCTTTAGAGTCACTGTGAGTTGAATACAACTCCACAGCTTCGGCTGTAGGTCAAAAGTGATTATAAGTAACTTTCAGAAGACAGTTCTATTTTCATGTTTATGGAGGCTCTTTAAATTTTCCCCACTGGCATCTATAAAACTCACTAAATGTGCTGCCACGGAGTCGATTCTGACTCATAGAAGCAAAGCAGAGCTGCCCTTGTAGATTTCCAAGACTATAACTCCTTATGGGAGTACAAAACCTCATCTTTCTTATGAGAAGTGGCTGCTGGTTTTGAACTGCTAACCTTACAGTTAGCAGCCCAATGCACAACCCACTATTCCATGTGGTCATCTTGCACCACTTCTGTATAACTAGAGAAACGGATTCCAAATACTGGTCTATGATCCAGGACCAGCCTGGGACAGTGTTTTCATGGTCATGAAGATAAATGAAAGAGCGAGAAAGAAAAAAGAATGTGGCATATATTTGATATAACTTGTGCATTTAATTTAGGAGTGCCTTTTGATTCTGGCCTACAAGTATATGATGTCCTTTAAAAAATTTTTTTTACCTTAAAATATATTTTCTTGTATGCTAAAATGTCCTATAATATGGGTCATTCTGTTCAGTCTCTTATTCAATAACTACTCTAATTATAGCAGCTTTGTTCATAATAGCCCAAGACTATGGGATCCCTGGTGGCTTAGTGGTTACATGTTGGACTGCTAACTGCAAGGTCAGCAGTTTGAAACCAACAGCCACACTGAGAGATAAAGACGAGGTTTTCTACTCCCATAAAGAGTTAGGTCTCAAAAACCCGGAGGGGCAGCTCTACTGTGCCTTATGGGGACTCAATGAGTGGGAATCAGTAGCAATGAGAAAAACAACCCAGCTATCCTTCAGTGAATAGTTAGAAAAGAACTGGTACATCTGTACCATGGGATACTACTCAGCTAAATGGATGGATGGATGGATGGATGAATGACTATTAATACATAACACAACTTGATGAATCTCCAAAGAATCATGCTGAGTGGAAATAAGAAACATCTGGAAAAGTTACCCACTTTTCTATTTAGGAATCCATTTATGACGTTCTCAAAATGACAACATTTTAGAAATGGAAAACACATCCATGGTTTCCAGCAGTTATGGGAGAGGTCAAGGGAGAGCTAAAACGGGGAACTGGAGGAATCCTTGTGGTATTGGAAATAATCTGTCTCTGGATTTGTAATATCATTATAAGGAATAATAGAGTTAAAACTGAAACATTTAAAGAGCAAATAGGAGTATTTTTTAGGTACTGAAAACTACCAGATATAAGGAACAAAATCCAATTATATTGAGATGGCTTTAACCATGTTTTCTATCCTCACAATTTGAGACACATGTGTGCATGCTAGGCATGTGTGTGTGTGTGCACATGAACACACACACACACACACACACATTGACCAGAGAGGAATGTTGTGATATGAACCTACGTGAGACAGGAATCATTGCTAGGATGAGGGACGAATAATGTGACACTGAACTTGAGGCTGAGATTTTCTTGGGGATCCTAGTGCTATAGTTTCCTATTGGCACCCAAACGTGTTGTTTAAGTTTTGCTTTCTCTTTCAACCAAATTTAGAACTTTGCTTAGAATGGAAATCCTCATCTCTTGGGCCTATTGATATCATTTGGTTATGGAATGGAGAGTCTCTGAAAAACGTAAGGAGTGCTTAAATGGTACTTTGAAAAGAAAGGGCCACTGTTAAAGAAAAACCATCAGATGACTGCCTCCGTGTCAGGCTGCCCTCATGGACTGAGACACGTGCCTGAGACTCACCTGTCACGGTGCCAGGCCATTGGCAACACTGCATCTTCAACGGGGTGCAGCCAGAACGCATAACGTGTCTGAACAACATGTTTTGCCCATAAGACACATTTTGACAGTTACTGGTGTTACATGATAAACTCATCATTGTGACTATCAAGCCCATTAAATTAGAAATCTGTCATTTGTAGCTTTAACTCTATACCACCATAGCCACACGCTACACGGCTGACCAGTGCTTCTCAGCAGTGTTCCACCACAGCTGTGCTCCTGCTTGCTATCTTTCTGGATCACTGCCTATTGCGCTCCTACCCATACCTTTTGATTTTTCAAAAGGATGAGCATTGCTCAGAAAGTATATAGTCTCCCCATTTTACAACGTCCATAGCGTTTTCTTAGGATCTCTGATAGCGTGGTGGCTGAAGTGCTTGGCTGCAAACCCCAAAGTTACTGGTTCCAATACACCAGCAGCTTTGTGTGAGAAGTTTATGATGGTCTGCTTCCATGAGAGATTGACAGACGGAGAAATCCTGAGGGAGGCGGTCCTTCTCAGTCCAACGGAGTCTCTGTGAGTCAAAGTTGACGGGATGACAAGGGGTTTCCCGGTTTGCCTGGTCCTCCTCCTGTCAGAATGGCCTGCTTCTATTGGCTTATTCAGTTCCTGTCCACGCATTTTCTTTTTGTGTGGAAATGGCATCCGATCAGACAAGTGAAGCAACGTAAGTGCAGGAAGCATTGGAGCCGTTTACCGAACATGACCAAGTCGGCCCGAGATACAGGAAATCGGCAGGATCTCCAAACATCCCAAGAGCACAGTCTCCGTGCCCAGCCATCACCACAGCCTAAACCCTTCCCTTGACAGCCGTCCTTGCCCACCCTTCCACCCCTCTTCCATCTCCCTCAACTTCCCAGGACGGGGAGTTTACTTGGCCATATATGACTTCACCTTTGACTACTAGTCTCCCCATTTACTTAGGACATCTTTAGCAGAGCAGCGTTAAAGTGCTACCCCATCTGTCAGTCGGTTGCACTATATTTGTTCGCATATTTCTGGGACACCATGACACTGGTATTTAAATGATCAGCAGGGTCACCAGTGGTGGACAGCTATTAACAGAGCTCCCAGAAGAACACAGACTAGGAAGAAAAGCCTCATCTACTTGCCAAAATGAAACAAGGAAAGTCTTACGGACCACAAGAGCGTATTGTCACATAGAGTGCTGGAAGAGCCTCTTCTGTGGAAGGCATTCAACGTGCACAGTGGCTGCAACCAGGTAGTAAAGACGGTGAGGAAGCACGCAATGGTTTGTTCTGTGGTGTATGAGGTCACCGTGAGTCAAAGCTGACTCGAAAGACAGCTAACAAGAACACCAATCAAACGAAGGGGCTGGATGAGGCCAGAGAGGCTGCGTCGCTGCCATATTGGGTCAACTGCACCTGATTTCATGAGCTCCTCTGCTCTTGGCATCAAAGAATCCAAGCACGTCCTTGCCACCTCTGCTTCCTCTTCATTTGGTAGATGTGTACATTTTCCGTGAGTTTACTAACTTAACACCTTCTATTTCTGAAAAACATACCTTCTCTATTAACTTTCCTCCCAAACAAAAATGTCCCTTTATGATCAGTAGTACCCATATACTCTACTTTCCTTGGACCTTCCTCTTATTTCCAAGATTCAATTCCAGGCCCCTTGGGGGGAACGAACTATGGATCACATAACTTGATATGATTCCTGGAGACATGAATGTGCCTTAGACATGGCAGGTGATCAATCATTTTTGCTGACTAAATAAGACAAGTAAAGTGGGTTATTGTCTTTTGAAAAATACACACAGGGCATCTATAATATGAATATTAGATAACATTTGCAAAATGTATTCCATTTTCCCAAAACCCAAGCTCTCTTCATCTTGGAAAACATAAAGCTAAAGGAAAAAGTAGCAATCGACCCTCAACAGCAATTAAAGTGTGCAAGGACTCCGATGCCAAAGAAAAATTTATTGAGAAAGACAGCATGGACATAGAATTGTGAACGTCAAGGCAAGCATAACCCTCGTAGGCATAGGGGTTTTGTTCGCCGTATCACATATTCGAGGAATGCATGAGAGATGAGTGGTATTTAGTATGGTGAGAGGGTGGCCTCTCTCCAGTTGCCTATTAATACAAGATAATAAAGCTGGTGGCCGTTTAAAACAGAGAAAAGTGTATCTGAATGACAGGTTTATGTTGATAAGATGGTGGGAACCTCATGATTGAATGTCAGATAGGAGTGAGGCGTCACAAGATTCAGCAGCTGGGACGACAGGAAGTTGTACCAAAGCAGGTAGTCTGACAGCAGATTGGGTGGGAGCAACTGGATGAGCCGCAGGTGGGCCCACAGGTGGTCTGACAGGAAACTGGGCGGAAACAACCAGACACACAGGTGCTGGGGCGGCAGGTAGTCTGGCAGCAGACTGGGCGGCAGCAGCTAGAGGAGACACAGGTAGGCCGGCAGGTAGTCTGGCAGCAGACTGGGCGGCAGCAGCTAGAGGAGACACAGGTGGGTCGGCAGGTAGTCTGGCAACAGACTGGGCGGCAGCAGCTAGAGGAGACACAGGTGGGTCGGCAGCAGGTAGTCTGGCAACAGGTAGTCTGGCAGCAAACTGGCCGGCAGCAGGTCTCCTGGCCTTGACCACAGCCCTGGTCAGAGCAGGCAGAGCCACAACAGGAGTTGACCATGATAACAGAGGATGGAGGTTCTGGGTGTGTTTACAGGAGGCTGATATATGAAATTTGGAAGTCTCCTGGCCCCAGCTCCCCTTTTATACCCTGCTGAGAGCCACTGTCACCATGTTAATGGATATTTCCTTGTTATTATTTCTATGAACACACAGACAATTACCAGTTGCTTAATTGTGTGTGAATGTATATAAAAGTTAGATGGAATGCATTTTTCCTTTCTCTGTGTTAGGGTTTATTCAATCTAGTCCATCCAACTGAATCATCTCTTGTTTTCTTAGGTGTATCATCTAATTTCAAAGCATCTTCAGCAGCTTCATCCGATTGGCTATCTTGTGATAGATCAATTGGAACTCAGCCTTTTATGTGTCATCCTTAAAGCTTTGTGTCTCCTGTCATTCCTCAATTGAGAACAATGTTTTATTTGTTTTCTAGAGACTCCTTTGAGAACAATAAACTGTAAAAGTACTAGAAGAAAACTTGGAAGTTTTTTTCTTAAATTGTTTGAACTACAATGGCTTTTCTAAGACAGAAAATTTCATAGTAATAATGGAAAATGTTGAAAATTCTGACAGCAGAAAAAATGTAATGACTGGATGGGAAAAAAATCTCAAAATTGCAAGTTCAAGGGGCACTTAAGGACTAATATACCAGAGAAGAAGCTGATTTCCTCACTGTATGAATATGCCTCTTACAATTTAACAACAACTAGAAAATTAAATAAAGGATATTAGCCGTGCAATGAAAATAAATATAAATGACTTTTAAGCTTATTAAAGGAATTCGATTACTCATAATTACTCGTGTTGTCCCCTGCCACTTCTGATTCTTCACACAGGGATCTCAGACATGCTTGTCTTGTGTGTCTCTTCATTCTTTGTGGTCATGAGATTCTCTGCTCCTGCTTCTGAAATGGCTCACTTTATGCCCAGTGGAATTGCAAAACTGATCAATCCCCTTATATTAGCCCCATACACCCTATTGACATGCTTCCACTAAATCATTTGGATAGAAGAGGCATACCAAGCAATTTCGCTTCACCACACTATTTTTTTTTCTTCTCCAAATGACCATTTTAGATAATGCATCAAGGCTATGCAGTGATGATAGAATTATGTCCCTATGTATTTATAATAGTGTCTTATACTTAGTGCAAGTGCTTATAGGAAAATTGTGTTTTGAGAAATGTTCTGATTGGTTCTGTTTCAAATCATTGGGATAGGGAAGAGTTGTTCAGTTATTAGTACATAAATTTATGCTTTATTAAGAGTTATTGGGCTATATGATGAATGTTGTTAGTGAAGATCATGGAAGTTTAATGCAAGACTAGGGAAGAAACCCACAGCTTAATACTGCCATTGGTATCATGTTGACTAAACTTGGTGCATAGTCAAGGATAAAGTTTAGCAGGAAAAAAAGATCCACAGCTGTTGGGATAGGAGCAAGTGGTGTGGCAACAGGCGATTTGGCAACAGACTAGGTAGCAGCCCTTGAAGGGAGAGCAGGAGGGATGGCACAGGGCAGTCTGAAGTAGGCGTCTGGCAAGGCATGCACAGCAGGTCTTTTGTGAGAGACCTCAGCAAGATCCTTAATCAGAGAGATGAAAGAAGCACAATAGGATCTGGTAGTGGTATGAGGTCCTGGGTATAATTTCTTGAGAGGGTTTGCTAGTTTTGAAAGTCTGTTTGGCCACGCCCTCCTATAAACAAACTGCTCAGGGACTGATGTGATTATATGCAGGACTCTTTATTTGTTGCTCCTTAGGCCCAATTACCAATAACTACAGATGGGTTGTTCTTGTGAAGTATTATAAGTAGAATGAAGGAAATATCTTCTATACCTAATGTGTTTTAATCTTAAAAAATCAGGTTCATGGCCTTCCTTTTGTCTCCACCCCCAGCCAGCCTCCTTCTTTGGAGGGTGTGTGTGAGAGAAACAGATTAGCGATATAATCTCTTCTGGGACAAGTAAACTTCTGCCTCTTGGTTGGGCGTTCTTGAGAGTGCACTCATAGAAGATAACTCTTCCGGGAACACCGTTTGCATTTGGCAGACACTGTCATTTCATTGGCCACTGCAGATGAAAGGATATTTGAATCTTTTGTTGAATTGTACACCATTTCCCAGCTGTTGTCTATCAGCTTTGAAAGGTATTTGTCCAATGTCAGTAATTACATGGCGTGCTCTGCAAGGGACGGGAGAAATCATTCCCTTCTGGATGGCATTAGCCATGTTGTCATTGTCCCCCTCTTTCCTCTTCTGTGTTTCAATCAGATTGCAGTGAGCTTGGGGTGGGTACAGAGATGCTAACAGGAACCCTGGATGCTCAATGACTAAAGACTCAGCTGCTAACTGAGAGGTCCCTAGTTCAAACCCACCAACAGCTCCTTGGGAGAAAGATGGGGCAGTCGGCTTCCATAAAGACTCTCTAGACTTGGAACCTCCACGGGGCAGTTCTAGTGCACCGGAGAAGAACATGATGAATCAGAGTGGATTTGACTGCAAGGGAGAGGGTTTTTTTAGTTTGTTATTTTGTTAAGGATCTGCTGTCGCCATATCCAGGATTTTCTTGCAATTATTTATCTTATTTAAAGGGAAATCATCAGACATACTGATTTGGACATGATGCTAATATAGAGTTAGCCTTCCATTTGGACAATATTTACAGTGCAAACATGATATGTTAATATATCTAAACAGAGTCCACATTATAGCTGTCAGTGAAATTACCACAACATACTTGTCAATATGAAGAAGCTGAGAAGCAGGGCACACAGCGTGCGAGGTGTAAGACACGTGGCTTTGAATTTTACTTGTCTAAAGTAGAATTGGTTATTCTGTCACTTCTGAGACTCAGTTCTCCAATCCCATACCAATACAAGTTATCAGTCCACGTTTTCAAGCTTGGAAACTTTGTACTCCTCATTATTGACTCCCATGATTCACCATTTTTTGACAAAGGGACACAGAGGTGAATAATGCTGCATCTCATCCTTTCCCTCAATATGATTCTAATCCAACTGAACCTACTACTACTACAACTAAACCTACTACAGCAATTACTACTACCCATTGCCGACAAGTCTATTCTGACTGACGGTGGCCCCATGGACAGAGTCAAACTGCCCCATAGGGTTTCCAAAATGGTAATCTTTATGGAAAGGAGCCATTCCACAAGAAGCCTCTATAGGGTTGCTATGGGTTGGACGTTATCCGATGGCAGTGGGTTTGGTTTGGGTACGGAATCTTGACAGACACGGACTATCACTTCTTTCTCCTACAGAACAGCTGGTAGGTTCAAACCACTGGCTCCTGGGTAGGTTTATCCACTGCGCCACCAGGGCACATTACTCAGGGAACAGCGGCAGATTATTTGGCAGAATCTGTAAACAGGAGATTGTCCACCTGGGCAGCCAGGCCAAAAATATTGCAGCAGCAGGCAGTGCAGAGATCCTTTGACACAGCTTTAATCAGAGCCAATAAAGCTGTCTCAGGGCCAGTTCTGCCAGCAAGGTCTTGAAGCACTTTCTATCAGGAAGTTAGTTAAATATGAATGGACAAAGCATCCAAGAATAAGAATGAGAATAAGCAGCTTTCATTCTGAATTACAACAGGGTGCTAAGTCTTATGTTAGCATCTACTCCACAGATGGAATCAGGAGCCTCATCAGATGTGGATTTCACTCATCCCTTGTGACCCGCCAACACCACCCTCTCTTCAGAGGCTCTTCCCAAAGGAAGTATCACCAAGAGGAAAAAGACGGAGATCAATCATGGTTCTGACCTGTCAGCTGAATTGGTAGATGACCACATAGGATATTCATCTTTAAAAGGGGGCAGTGGTGCTTTACTGAGATGGAGCATGAGGACAGCATGACTCCTTTCTCATGTGAAATGTGCACACAAACAAATCAATTAGCCTCAGAAAATTCCTAACAATGAAGGGATAACTTCCTCCTTGGGAATTCCTCTATGACTAGAGAAAGTACTACAAGCCATAATCAGGAAAGTTCTCCTGATTGGTTCAAACTGTAGCTATCTGAAGTATAAAAGCCCCGGAACAGAAGGAGTGCTCACAATCTGGGAAACTCACCTCTGAACAGAAGCCCACCCTCCACACCTGACACCATGTGCTGCTCCCCTTGCTGCCAGCCCAACTGTTGCCAGCCCTGCTGCCGCCCCACCTGTTGTCAGACCACCTGCTGCACCACCTGCTGCCAGCCCTGCTGCCGCCCATCCTGCTGTGTGTCCAGCTGCTGCCAGCCCTGCTGCCGCCCATCCTGCTGTGTGTCCAGCTGCTGCCAGCCCTGCTGCCGCCCATCCTGCTGTGTGTCTAGCTGCTGCCAGCCCTGCTGCCAGCCCTGTTGCCGCCCTATCAGCTGCTGCTGCCAGCCAGCTTGCTCTGGCCCTGTGCATTGCCACAGAACCTGCTACCAGCCAACATGTGTCCGCCTGACTGGTTGCCTACCCCAGACCTTCGGCTGCACCTGCTGCTAGACCTGCTGCCATCCAGGCTGCCGCAGACACCTGCTTTAGGGTGACCCGTATCTCTCCTAGCTGTGACTCCAGCTGCTGCCGACCTCCCTGCTGTTCATCCTCTTGATGAAGGTCCACTGCTACATGCCAACTTCCCATCAACAAACACCAGCCTACAGCAAAATCACTCCCCGGGCTTTCCCGCTCTAAAACGTTCTGATCCCTATATTCTTGTATCAACCACGAGTGTAACCTTCATGCAGGGTAGCTCACTTCATGCTGATTTTCTCTTTCTCAGTCAGTCAGTGTCCCATCTTCTGGTCCATTTTACCTCTTCATCACATAAGTCATGTAACTAGATGTGGGACAATGATCTCAACCTTTCTCCCTAAACAAGTTAAAACATAAAAAACACTTCTTAACGTTTTTCTTACCTCTCCCCAATAAGAAGTAATAAATAAATCTCTAATGTATCACTATTCTCCTGTCTTGCTTTTCTCTCTGTATGTTCACTATGACATGGCTTCCGAATGACAAGGAGTCCTGTGTTGTTCCTAGGAAAATCCATCCTGTGCTCTCCCACATGTTGCTCCTGTTCCCATGGCATTTCTCTTCTGAGAGCTTGCATTCTTCATGCATGTCATATCTGTCATTCCTCCTGTTCCCACAAAAGCCTCACGCAATGATCATGTCTGGTGATCAAAGCGACTTGCTTAAGGTCATGGGATCCATTACCCTGAACCTCTTATTGTAGATAGAGGGTGCTTCCGTCACTCCTTACTGTGAGTGAAGGTCACACAGGTGAGCTTCGGCCCTGTTGCCTGGGGATCTGAACACGTTCAGGCACAACATGCTCTGTTGTGAACAAGGAGAGGAACGTGAGACACAAGGAGATGCGGAGGATCTGTGTATGGCTAGAGCGCATTGCAGAGATGAGGGTGACATTATGGACGACCTTTTAACCAATGTCTTAAAATGTATGCAAACCCTAGGATTTACTACAGAGAGAAATTCCAAATAGAAATGGAAAATTTGAAAAAAAACATTTTTTTTTAATTTGAAGTTTCTATCTACTGATTAAAGTGAAAAATTATAATAAATATTTACCCTCTTTAGCACCAAATGTTGATTCTTCTGGAAGAACAGCAAATTAAACACTTTAAACTGATCAACCAAGAAAAAAAAAAAGAAGTCTCACATGATTAAAATCAGGAACGAATGAGAGGCATAGGTCCTGATCATATGAGAATGGAAAATATCATCTAGAAATGCTAGGAACATAGTTTGCCCACCGATTAGAAAGCCTCACACTGCCAAGGGGAATAGAATGTGGTGCGGATACGCTGCAAACATTCTGAAATCCCTCTCAGCTTCAGCAGCGTTACTCTGGGAGCTCACAGCTATCTCTCTACCCAAGAGAAACGAAAGCCTGTATTCACACAGATCCTTGTGCATGAAGATTTAGCTAAAAATCACAGAGTGGAAATGGAACAAATGTCCATAAACAGGTGAACAGATGAACACCACATGGTATATACAGACATTCCATATGTGGAAATGTCATTCAGTCATAAAAATGAATGAGGTATGATGCATGCTCCAAGATAAATGAATCCCCATTTGTCGTTTTGCTGAATGACAAAGCTAACCCCCAGAGACCCCATAAAATGATTCCATTTGTATAGACAACTGTAAAAAGACAGAAACCAGATAAGTGGTTTCCAAGAGGTGGAAACAAGAGGTATACAAAGTGATCACTAATAAATGCTGGAGTGATGAAAATGTTCCCGCCGACCCAGCAATGCCAGGAGAACTCCTGTGCTTTACATAGTAGGGGCGATATTAGCAAAAGAATAAGGAAGGAGACAAGGAGAACAGAATGACAAAGGAGGAAAAGATCCAGGCATACAGACGGTGTAATTTGATTTACAGTAAGTATAGTTGAGCAGATTACTGGGTAGAAGTTGGACTTTTTAATACATGATGCTGGAGCAATAAGGTCTCCACTGGGATCAAGGAGGGGCGATAAGGGAGATACTTCTCTTCTGTTCTTACCATATAAGATACTATTCAAACCGTATTTCAAATATTAAGCATCTAAATGTGAAAGATAAACAATAATGCTTGCAGATGATAAAAGAGAAGAACATTTTTATGTCCTGGGCTACTAGATTAAGTACACCAAAAAAAAAAAATAGATTCACTAGACTTATCTTAAAAATAAATACTTCCACATCTGGACTTTGGGCCTCTACTTAAATCTTACCTCAGTACAAGAACGGTTGTTCGAATAACGTTGCATTATACTCATCTTCCCGACACAATCACTGAAGACAAAGTGGGTGCATAAGCAAATGTGATGAAGAAAGCTGATGGTGCCGGCTATTAATAAAAGAGAGCCTCTGGGGTCTTAAAGGCTTGAAGGGAAACAAGCGGCCA